CCCTTCTCCGCCCCCCTCCTCCGCCCCCCTCCTCCCTTCCTCTCTCCCTCCCCCCCTCCCCCCGACTTGTGCTCCCTGTCTCCTCATTAGGCCTAAGCATGTGCGTAATTCATCCCTCTTTCAACGCACACGCTTCTTGTGTAGGCAATTAAGCCCCCCCTCCCCTTTCCCTCCCTCCCCCTCCTTCCCTTCCTCCCTCCCCTTTCGGTCTTTCCTCTCTCCTTCCCTCCCTCCCTCCCTCCCCCTCCTTCCCCTTCACTCCTCCTCCTTCCTCCTCCTTCCCACTCCTTCCCACTCCTGCCCTCCTTCCCTCCCTCCCTCCCTCCCTCCCTCCCTCCCTCCCTCCCTCCCTCCCTCCTTCCCTCCCGCCCTCCCTCCCCCTCCTTCCCCTTCACTCCTCCTTCCCCCTCCTTCCCTGTCCTTCCCTCCCTTCGTTTTATGCACACGTAATCATGCATGCGCACACACATCCACATGTCGGTGTACAACTAGTCTAGGCCTATGTGTACACGAAAGTGATGTCGCGTGTGGTTGGTACAAAAAGGTGTACACAGTCTTCGTGTGGTGGTTCCGGGCGAGGCGAGAATTGGGGATAAATGTGGGATAAAAAGGGAGGGAGAAGAGGAGGGTGAAAAGGAAGGAAGATGGAGGAAGAAGGGAGGGAGGGAGAGGAAGAGGGAGGGGTGAGGAATGGAGGGAGGAAGAGGGAAGGAAGGAAGAGGGGGGAAGAAAGCCAGACTGAGAGAGAGAGAGAGAGAGAGAGAGAGAGAGAGAGAGAGAGAGAGAGAGAGAGAGAGAGAGAGAGAAACAGATAGAGAAACAGACAGAGCGAGAGATACATAAACATGTTTTTCTACTGCTGGAATCGGACACTCTGTTGCTAACTGGAAGATGAGACACTTAATATCTTCAGGTAATACCCTAGGGGGGGTGAGATAGGAGGAAGAGGGGGAGGGGGGAGGGGATAGGAGGAAGAAGGGGAGGGGGGAGGGGATAAGAGGAAGAGGGGGAGGGGGAGGGGGTGAAGGAGAAGGAGAAAAAGCAGAAGGAGAAGTGGAAGGAGGGAATGGGAAGGGGGCCAGGAGGAAAAGAAGGAGAAACAAAGGAAAACAGCAACAATAACAACAAAATATCATATAAAACTTGATATCTCTCGCGGGAGGGGAGGGGGGATGGGAGGTGATGGCGAGGGGGTGAGGGAGGGAGATGCCATGGAGTGCCCTCCTGTCATGGCACTCGTCTGCCCATTTCCGTAAATTGTGGCACTGGGTGTACCTCAAAGTGGTCGCGTGTGAGTATTGTCATCATCATCATCATCATCATCATATTTTTTTTTTTTTTTTTCATTGTGGTCATCATCGTTATCATGGATGTTATTGTTGCAATCATTGTCATTTGTATTCATTTTAGAATGATAGATAATGATGGTAATGATGATGATGGTAATAATAACGGTAATATTAAAAGTAATAGTAATAATAATGATGACAATAGTAATAATGATAATAACAATAACAAGAACAACAATGACAATAATGATAATAATAATAATAATAATAATAATAAGAAGAAGAAGAAGAAGAAGAAGAAGAAAAAGAAAGAGAAGAAGGAGGAAAAGAAGGAGAGTAATCTGAGGATAGGAGAAAGAGAGGGGGGGGTAATGCTGAGTGGGGGTTAGGGGGAGGGGGGGGCGTGTTGCGGTAGACAGGATGGCCTCTCGTGGCGCGTGCAGCTGATGTCTGCTGCGTCTTCACTGCTGTTTGTTCGGCTCAGTTTGCTTGTTTTTTTTCTTTGATTTTGGAGGCAAGTGTGTGTTTGTGTTGTGTGTGTGTCTGTATTTGTGTCCATCTGTTTGTTTGTTTGTTTTATTTGTGTGTCTGTCGTTTGAGTATCTTTTTGTCTGTCTTGTCTGTCGATCAGGGATTGTGATAGATAATGATGGGCATCATCACCGTCACTATTTTCTTTTATTCTACTAATATCACTATCACCGTCATCATCTTCATTATCTTTACAGTCACTACTTTCTCCCAACAATCATCACCATCGCGGTCACCATCGCCATCATGACCATTATCACGATCACTAACGTACTGTCACCATCATTATCAGCATTATCTCACCGTCACCATCATTATCACTTTTATATCACCATCACTGTCCCCATTATCTCCCCATTAGGCCATGATTATCACCGTTATCACTATTAATTATCACCAGTTACTTGATCACCATCACCACCATCAGTCATCACCATCACCACCATCAGTCATCACCACCAGTCATCACCATCACCACCATCAGTCATCACCATCACCATCAGTCATCACCATCACCACCATCAGTCATCACCATCACCACCATCACCATCCTCGAAATAGGCCAAGTTCCCGCGGTTCGAAGAGAAACTTGTACCTAATAAGTTAGGAACACAATAAGTTAAAAATTAGCATGGACGCTATTGTCGTCGGGTGATGGAGTGCCCAGCGGGGGAGGGGGGGGTAGGAGGGGTTATCGATGGGAGGGGGGGGTTATTGGAGGGTTGGAGAAATATGTGGATAGAGAAAAGGAGAGAGAGAGGGAAAAAGAGAGAGGGAGAGAGGGAGGGAGGGAGAGAGGGTGAGAGGGAGGGAGAGAGAGAGGGAGGGAGAGAGGGTGAGAGGGAGGGAGAGAGGGTGAGAGTGAGGGAGAGAGGGTGAGAGGGAGGGAGAGAGGGTGAGAGGGAGGGAGAGAGGGAGATAGGAGGGAGAGAGAGAGTGAGAGAGAGAGAAGAGAGAGAGAGAGAGAGAGAGAGAGAGAGAGAGAGAGAGAGAGAGAGAGAGAGAGAGAGAGAGAGAGAAATTAATAGAAGAGTGGGAAAAAGATAAAAGTATATGCCATGAACATGACAACATAATTGAATAAAATCCAAAGTCATCGGAGACAACGCGGTACACCAACTAACCCCCATTCCCCTCCCCCCCCCACCCCCACACTTCACATGACCCGTGACTTACTGACCCCCAAGCAACTTACCCCCTTCCTTCTTACCCCTTCCCTGCCTCCCCCTCCCTCTCGTCCTCTCCTGCTCCTTCTATCGTGCTCCCTCCTCCCTTCCCCTCCTCCCTTCCCTTCCTACTCCTTCCTCCTCCCCCCCCTCCCCCTTTCTTCCTTGCTTCTACTCGTGACCCGTGACTCGTGACTCGAACCCTGACCTGCTTCAGTGCCGGGAAGGGGGGGGATGTGATGGGGAAGGGGGGAGGGGGGAAGAGGGAGTGTAATGTACTGTGGTGCGCTTATTCGCTCTCTCTTGTAGGGAACTGCCGATTGCGTCTTGAAGTGAAGTGTCATGGAGTTGTTGAGTTAAAGTTGATACAGCTTCAATACTTTATTCTGCGGTAGCGTGGTAGGTGGGATACAGAGGACGGGCAAGGCAGGGGCGCTCAGGGAAGAGCGGGGCGACCTGCCGGGCCCGCCGTGGCGAGCGGTCTCGAGAGAGAGCTGGAACTTGAGGTGTTGCCTGAGCCGATGCTGAGGGCAGAGTGATTTCGGCTCTCCGAGATTTCGAATGGTTCACAAATATTAACTAAACATAAGAATATGGCAACATTGTTCTTTCGTGAGAAATGTCAGTACAGGCTCTCTGGTTTACAACAGGGTAAGGGTCTTGTGGTCACATGTTAGGTCGGTTACACTGGGTATGACAATACAATTATATAGTGAACATCAGATAACTACAAAATCGACAGCAATAATGATTACAAACATAGTGATTATGAATAAGGAATTTTTGACAAACATTTTGAGTATAATCAAGATATAAATTAACATGTAGTTATAAAATATTCGACGGTAAGGGTCGGAATCGCTTTCTGTGTGGCACTTCACTATTGTCGTTACTTTCTGGGCGCAGGTCAAACTTGGCACAGTCGATTACCACTAGGGTCTTGGGTACCGTGGGAAGTAGAGGGGAGAGGTCATTAAAGGGGGAGAATGGAGGATAAATAAATGAATAATAAATAATTTAGTTTGATTCCATTTGTTACAATGGTTATTCTTGTGCTGACATGCTGTCTGTATTATTTTGCTTCTAAATTATCCCCTGTGTGCAAGGAATGGCCGGGGTTACCATCCACTGGTGGCGAGGGATTCGAACGCAGGTCAGCAAGATTGCTAGACGAGATCGCTACCGCTGCACCACACAGCAGGAAGGGGGATGGAGGGAGAAAATGGGGGAATGGAGGAAGGGGGGGAGGAGGGAGAGAATAGAGGAAGGGGGAGGAGGAGGGAGAGAATGGAGGAAGGGGGAGGAGGAGGGAGAGAATGGGGGAATGGGGGTGGGGGGTGAGGAAGAATGGGGGTTGGGGGAGGAAAGAGGAGGATGGGGGGAAGGGGTTTAGAAGGGAGAGAATGGGGGAATGGGGGTGGGGGGTGAGGAAGAATTGGGGTTGGGGGAGGAAAGAGGAGGATGGGGGGAAGGGGTTTAGAAGGGAGAGAATGGGGGAATGGGGGTGGGGGGTGAGGAAGAATTGGGGTTGGGGGAGGAAAGAGGAGGATGGGGGGAAGGGGTTTAGAAGGGAGAGAATGGGGAATGGGGGTGGGGGGTGAGGAAGAATTGGGGTTGGGGGAGGAAAGAGGAGGATGGGGGGAAGGGGTTTAGAAGGGAGATAATGGAGGGAATGGGGGGAGGGGGGAGACAACAGTGATGTCTGCCGTTAATTGTTTCTCTTGATGGGCACGACCTTTGCATTGAGGATTGGGATGTGGTGGTGACGATGGGGAAGATGGAGGTGAGGATTTTTGTTTTGGTTTGTTTTTTCTTCATTTTTCTTCGGTCTCTCTCCTTTTGTTTAAGATTATTTTTTTTTCTTCTCTCATTTCTACGCTCCTCCTCTCATTTCGAAGTAGGACGCGATTTTTTTTTTTTTTTAATGACTAATGTTATCGTTTATTTGTAATTATCACTTCGTTCATTTGATTGTGTGTTTTACTAATCTTTGTCTCTCTGTTTCTTCCTCCAGGGCGGAGTCGAGTCCGTGCGAGCTCCGAGGGCAAGGTAAGGAAGAGAAGCCGCTGCTACTCGAGTCGAGGTTGGAGAGTGAGTGAGTGAGTGGGGTGGGTAGGGGGTGGGGGGTGAGGAGGTAGGGGGGGTAGGGAGAGAGGATGATAGATTGATAGATAGATGGATAGATAGATGGATAGGTGATAGATAGGCATAGATAGATAGATAAATGATAGATAGGCATATATATATATAGATAGATAGGCGTATATAGATAGATAAATGATAAATAGGCATAGATTGATAAATAGATGATAGATATACATAGATAGATGGCATGATGGATGGATGGATAGATAAATAGGTAATACATAGGTAAGATAAGAAGGGGAGACTGATAGATAGATAGATAGATGTCTCTGTGGTCGGATCGATAGATAGATAGATGGATGGATGGATGGATTGGATAGTTAGATACGTAGACAGATAGATAGATAAACATGAATAAATATGGACATAGATAGCCTACGTGACGACTGCATAAGCTGTACTAAATAAAATAAAAAGGAGTGTGTATTAGACAAGTGCCAATTTTTTTATTACGTTTACTGTATAAGAAATCGGACGAGGGATGAGAGAAAAAGATAAAGATAAAGAAAAGGGAAGGGAGAGAAATTGAAAGAAAGGGAAAAGAAAATGAAATAAGAAGGAGAAGAGATGAAAAGGAAAAGGGAAAAAGAAACAGCAAAAGAAGAGGAGGAGGAAGAAGAAGAAGAAGAAGAAGAAGAAGAAGAAGAAGAAGAAGAAGAAGAAGAAGAAGAAGAAGAAGAAGAAGAAGAAGAAGAAGAAGAAGAAGAGAAGGAAGAAGAAGAAGAAGAGAAGGAAGAAGAAGAAGAAGAAAGAGAGAGAGTGGGAGAGAAAAAAGAAGAAAAGGAGGAAACAGAAGAAGGAGAAGAAGAAGAAGAAGAAGAAGAAGAAGAAGAAGAAGAAGAAGAAGAAGACGAAGATGAGAAATGGGCGCGCTGGGTGGCGGAGGCAGCGGAGGTCAACCAAGACGCCTTATGGAATATTTAAACTTGCTTTACACTGAGCCTCGCTTCTATTCATCAACCCCCCCCCTCCGCCCCTCCCCTCGTGACTCCTCTCCTTTCTCTCTTTCGGTCTGTCTGTCTATCTGTCTGTCTGTCTCTTTCTTTCTCTTTCCGTTTTCTCTCCTCCTTTCTCTCTTTTTCTTCTTTTTTCTTTTCTTTCTTTCTTTCTTTCTTTCTTTCTTTTTTGTTTTCTTTCACTCTTTCCTTCCTTTCTTTCTTTTCTTTCTCTCTTTCTTTTCTCTCTCCCTCCCTCTCTCTCTCCCCTCCCTTTCTCTGTCCTCCTTTCTCTCCCTCTCTCTCTCTCCTCCTTTCCCTCTCCCTTTCCTTCTTCTCTCTCTCCTCTTTCTCGTCTTATTTCTCCTCTTCCTCTTTCTCTCCCCCCTTTGTCCTCCTCCTCTCTTTCCTCCCTCTCTCTCTCCTCCATCTCTCTCGCCCTCTCTCTTCTCCTTCCCCCCACCCCACCCCCCTCCCCGCTCCTGTCAGCCTAAGGAAGTGTCGTGTCACCTGACCCCGGCTGACACTTTGGTGGTCTCCTGACGCGCGGTGCAGGTGGCCGGGGCTGACGCTCGCTCCTCGGGGCTGGCGCTGCTGTTGCTGTTGGCTCTTGGTTGGAGGCTGTTGGGGCTTTTGTTGTTGTCTCCCCCTCTCCTTTTCTCCCTCCTTCCCTCGCTCCTTTCCTCCCTTCCCTGACTCCTTTCCTACTTCCTTCCCTCCTTCCTTCCCTCCTTCCTTCCCTCCTTTTCTCCCTTCCCTCCTCTCCTCCTTCCCTTCCTTCCTCCTTTCCTCTCTCCCTTCCTCCCTCCTCCCTTTCCTCCCTCCCTCCCTCCCTCCCTCCCTTCCTCGTCTTGTTCCTTTTTATGGTTATTATTACTATTGCATTATTTCCATTGTTGTTGTTATCGTGCCTATTATCATTTGGTTATTGCCCTTTTAAGTGAAATTATAACCATTATTCTTCATATTGTTTTCTTTATTCTTATTCTTATTTTTGATTCCTTGTTGCTGCGCTTGTCGGTCGTCCCCACGGTTGCAAATCTGGAATGCAAATCTGAGTTTTGTTTTGTTTAATGAACTCGCTCTGTCACTCTGGGCCGATTATTTTCCTCTGAGAATGGGTGTTATTATTCTAATGGTGATGATGGTGATGATGGTGGTGATGATGATGATGATGATGGTAGCTGTTGTTATTGTTGTTTTTATTATCGTTATTATTAATATCATTATTGTTAGTATTTTTGTTGTTGTTGCTATTATTGTTGTTATTATTAGGATTATTGTTATCATTGCCATTCTTATCATCATTATAGACGTTAAAGATGGATATTTATTGATTTATTTATTCATTTATTTCATTTTGTTTAATTATAACGTACATGGAGCCAGCGAGTAAGTTTATACGTGAACCAAAAAAAGTATAATTCGGTGAAAGTGTCGAAGAAAGTGGAAATAGACAGAAAAAAAGGAAGAAAGGAAAGTAATTATCGCTCATACGACAACCCCCTCCCCCCCTTCCCCCCCTCGGCATTTCCGTCTTCCGGTTATGGGCATTTGCAGGAGACATTGTTAGTTATTGTTAAGTCATTGTTCTAATCTCCCCTTGCCTTCCTCCCCCCCCCTACTCTGCCCCTCCCCTTCTCTTCTCTCTTCTCTTCTCTTGTCTTCTCTTCTCTTCTCTCCCCTCCCTCCGTTCCCTTTCTCTTCCCTTCTCTCTCTCTCTCTCTCTCTCTCTCTCTCTCTCTCTCTCTCTCTCTCTCTCTCTCTCTCTCTCTCTCTCTCTCTCTCTCTCTCTCTCTCTCTCTCTCTCTCTCTCTCTCTCTCTCTCTCTCTCTCTCTCTCTCTCTCTCTCTCTCTCTCTCTCTCCCCTCTCTCTCTCTTTTTCTCTCTCTCCCCCCTCTCCTCCCATCTCTCTCCTCTCTCTCTTCTCTCTCTCTCTCTCTCTCTCTCTCTCTCTCTCTCTCTCTCTCTCTCTCTCTCTCTCTCTCTCTCTCTCTCTCTCTCTCTCTCTCTCTTTCTCCCCTGGTTACCATAGCTTCTGTCTGGCTTCACTTCCCATAGAAGGGGAGAGGGGGAAGGTATAAGGTGGTGTAGGGGGGTAGGGGTAGTTGAATCGTAGAGTGGGGGGGGGGGTTAGTGTTGGATTTACACCCTCCCCCTTCCCCCCCCCTCTCTGACTCATCCGCGGGTGTGTGTGTGTGTGTGTGTGTGTGTGTGTGTGTGTGTGTGTGTGTGTGTGTGTGTGTGTGTGTGTGTGTGTGTGTGTGCGGATGAGGGAGAGAAGTATGGAATATAGAAAAGCATGAAAGACAGAAATAAAGAAGATAAAAGAGAGAAGAAAGAATAATGACAAGAGATAAAAAAAGGAAGGGAAACTATGATAAGTGAACGAACAAGGGAAAGAAAGTATGTGAAAGGAAGGAAGTTAAATCAGATGAATGCGAGACCGGAGAGAATGAAAGGAAAAAAGAAAAAAAGGAAAATTAAGTAAAAAAAAAAAAAAAAAAAAAAAAAAAGCTTTGTATGGTTTACTAACTCTTTCCTGCTTAATGATGATCAAACAGCTGTTTCATATTAAGTGGGAGAAAGCTCGTTTCCTGGAGAGCTTGGAGGAAAGAAAGGGAAGGGGAGGGAGGGATGGGGAAGGGGGAGGGGGAGGGGAGGGGAGGGGAGGGGGAGGGGGAGGGGAGGGGAGGGAATAAGGGAGAGTTAAGGAAAGGGATAAGGTCTCTCTCTCTCTCTCTATCTCTCTCTCTCTCTCTCTCTCTCTCTCTCTCTCTCTCTCTCTCTCTCTCTCTCTCTCTCTCTCTCTCTCTCTCTCTTTCTCTATCTATCTATCTATCTTTATCTCTATCTCTATCTCTCTCTCTCTCTCTCTCTCTCTCTCTCTCTCTCTCTCTCTCTCTCTCTCTCTCTCTCTCTCTCTCTGTGTCTCTCTGTCTCTCTCTCTCTCACTCTTTCTCTCTCTCTCTTTCTTTCTTTCTCTCTTTCTCTTTCTCTCTCTTTCTCTTTCTCTTCTTTTTTCTCTCTTTCTCTTTCTCTCTTTTACGCTGCATTCATCCAATTAATTATACATTTCGCGCATTCTTATACAGGTTGGCGAGCTTTTTTCCGCTGCCTTTCTTTCTCTATTATTGTCTTTGTGAGAACTAAGGCGTCCCACTCCCGCGTTTCACCGAGGGGGGGGGGATGTGGAAGGAGGGAGGAAGAGGAAGAGGGGAAGGGGGGAGGGGGGGAGAGATAGAGGGAGAAAGAGGAGGAATAGAGAGGAAGGAATAAGAGGGGGGGGGAGGTTATTATCTTTATTAATAATGTTTTGTTGTTGTTGTTGTTGTTGTTGTTATCATCATTATTTTGTATTATAATTATCTTCCTTATCATTCCCTCCGTCCATCCATGCATTAATCCGTCCACCTGTTTAGTTATTCATTAATTTATGAATAGACGAATGCATCCATCCGTCCGCATGCATCACTCGTCCATTCACTCATTCATTCGTTCATTTATTTATTCGCGAAACACATGAATGAGTGAGTGAATGTAGTGGAAGGGAAAGGTTTGTGTCTGTGACTCTCTTTCTCTCCTGCCCCTTTCTCCTTCTTCCTTTTCCTTCTTCTCTCCTTCTTCCTCTCTCTCCCTACTCTCCTTACCTTCCTCTTTTTTTCCCTTGCCTCTTTCTTTTCCCTTCCCTGTTTCCTTCTTCCTTTCCTTTCCTCTTTCCTCTTCCCTCTTCCTCCTGTCCCCTTGCGGTGCCAGGCATGATTTCATTAATTAATTCATCCATTCCTCTTTCCCTCTTCCTCCTTTTCCGTCCCCTTCCCTTTTCCCCCTCCCTTTACCCCCCACAGCCTACTTCTCCTCCCTCCCTCTTTCCCTCTTTCTTCCCCTCTCTCCTTCCCTCCCTCTTTCCCTCCCTCTTCCCCTCTCTCCTTCCCTCCCTCTTTCCCTCCCTCCTTCCTTCCACCTCCC